TGCAGAGTACAGCAGACACTGCAGTTCACCCAATATCCGTTCCCCCTTCTTCTTTATGAAAAATACCCAGACTGTATTAATGGTGGCAAGCTGAGGCGCCAGTTAAAATTCATCTTAAGATGACAGATCAGTGTGGTCATGTGATAGTGCTGGCCTGGGATGGGGTCCCTTCCTGACTAAAAGGCAAAGCCTAATAAAGAGAAAGCACCTTGCCTCACTGAAAAGCAAATGGGATGCCCAAGTTACAGATGTCATTTTGCAACCCTGAGGATAAAAGTCACAGGCCAAGGATAAAGGAGAAGGAGGCTACAAGGAGACTGGGTCTGTGATAACTTCCTTAAACAGCCAGGCAGTCCTGTGGGTCTGTAATGTGCAGCCACACCTGACATTTGTTGACACACAGGTGCTCCTCAGGCCACTCTGAGAAATACTGCCCTATTCTAGGTATCCAGAAGTTTCGTAAAAGGCTTGACTTTTTCTCTTGTGTTTCCTTCTATTCTTCTATTATGGTTTTCCCTGGAGTAGAGAATCATTATTATTTTTTTGTAACTATTTTATACTGGAGTAGATTCTTTTAAAATCTTGTTGAAGTGAAAAGGAATAATAGATTCTAAATAAACAATCAGATCATAAAATTCTATTTTATTTGACTTTTTAAAATGAAATGAAAAGTGATATCAAACAATAGTATGCAATGTAAGATTGTTAACTTCTAAACTGTGCTTTCAATAACTGAAGTTATGGAACCTATTCCGTTTTTCAATATTTACTAAATTGGGGATGGGGGAAATAATTTTACTCTGAAAAACATTAGGGAGGCACTAATTGTAGCAATATCACAAATCAAAATTATAGGTCCTATGCTTTAGATAGTAGTATGTTAATTGTACAGTGCTTTTGATAACTCCTGCTCTATTATAACTTGCTCTCAGCTGGATGCAGGATTTCATTTGCTAGGCCATAAGCTTTAGGATATCTTATATTATCCTGAGGAATTGCGAACATCTTAAGTATAATGCAACTACTTAAAATTAGAGCTTTTGCAGCAGTCCATCAATTGCTTGTAAAATAAATGCAGCAGTAAATTGTTTTAGCAACTTCTAAGTAAACTCCTTGCCAGACAATCTTTCAGCACTTGAGTCAGGATATTAGCTCGGTCTTTAACCTGACTCCAGGTATCACATAAGTGCCATTAACGTCCTTTTCTAAAATGGGATCCAGTTTCCAGCTATAAAAGAAAGTCAAAAGTAAAATATTTGACTATGAGCATTTCAGAAAAAAACTTAAGTGCAATCAAAAAACTTACTGAAAAGTTTCCATTATCTGGAACACTCCCTTTAAAACATCTTACATATTAAGGACTTTGAGTAAGTACATGTGCAACTCTATACCATCAAACATCATCTTGTAAAGAGAGATACATTAATTCAATTAGAGTAGTGTATCAAAGGCGCACTTAAAGAGCAATGTTAGGAGAGTTGAATTCCAGTTAACTTTGTGACTGAGTGCAAGGTAAGTTGGAGACTTTTTTCCTAAATTGGAATGAGCATTTTTTTAATAATGGGGCCTGGAAAAGACAGTGGAAAGTGAGGAGCCAAATCACTAGACTCCCAGTGAGGTTCCCCATTTGTGAAATAGGGTCCCTTTAAGAAAGGAGAGGATGGCCGAGGAAGATGGCCTAAAAAGATTTAAATTGCTTTGTTTAAAGGAACAAAGAACTGCCAGTTTGGTCAACGCCACTGTCCTTCCCCCAACAAACACACTGCAAACCACCGTGATTGTCATAAATAATAGTGGCAGGACCAGAATTTCTATTAGGAGGGTCTTAGGGTGGCTATCTGGTTGGGGATGTGATGGGCCAAGGGACTTCTCATGAAGCTGCCTTTACACAGCACATCATTTTTCCTTAGAAGACGTGTATTTGGAGTGACTTGGCAACTGGGGGAGGAAGGATGCTGAAGGCCCCTGAAGCCCATTCTTGGCACCGTTACTGCTACGTGACCCACTTCTGCATTTGCCTATCGCCTATTGCTCTGTCAGAGCTGTCTTCTCCTCCACTCCACTCAGGAGTGGGCTCTGGCCCAAGGGAACTCTGTTAGGGGCCCTCACAGAGACACCCCCCCTTGCAGGCTACCCTTCTCCCCACCAGATTTGCCTCTACCAGCCCTCTCCCTCCCCAACTCTAGGCCTGGCTTCCAGCACTTCTCAAACTTTTCTAAATTAGCTCTGATTGCTGAGGAAACTAGGAAAAAATGTCAGGGCCACACATAAGTGACTCTCCATAATAAAATGTTTTGAGGTCTCTTGTTTCATCTTAAATTCACACAAATTTGTCATCCTACTCCATAGTGTGTTTCAATATAAAATATTTTAAGTAACCTAACAGCAAAATGAGTTAACTTCTCCCTTTGAAAGACTGTCAAATAAAATTGATACCCTAGGAAGATGCCCGTGATCTACCTGTGCGCCACCCCACCCCCACCCCCCACCCCCCTCAGAGAGACCCACACATCCATGGGAATGCGCACTCCAAAGAGAGAAGCATCCATATTTACATACTAATGTCTAACTGTGTGTATGGTGAATGGCCCTCCCCATCCTTAATCCCAGATAGCCCTACTTTTGAACTAAATATCAGGGGGGAAGGGAGTTAGGAGGGGGGAAATTGGGAGAGGGGGGCTAGGGCAAAATTACAGTTTTCAAAAATATTCTATAATTTTAATTGTTAAGTAATTCAGGTGAACTTTAATCCCAATTTTCCCATATTAACGAGCTGCCATTTTTCTCACCACCTACATGTTGCTACTTGACTTTACAATTTATTTTCGCTGTGTAGTTTAATATTCACAGTAAGAAAAATCTAGTCAAAGTGTCAAGTTTATTACCTCATTTTTTCTCTTCCAGTGATAGTCTCTCTTGGTCATTCCAAGACCGGTGTTGACTGAGCCAATCCAAATAAATGCATTAAACAGAAAAACTAAATTAGGAATTTAAGAGTATAGGTAGCAGGAGGATATTTTGAAATTTCAGCTTACTTCCTCCCTGTAAGTGTCGCCTTTCTCTTCTCCCCTTTCAAACAGGCTTTTTACTTTTTTCCCTCAAGGACATTTGTGACTAGGCTCCCAAAAGTCCAATACAAGGGCTGGCAAACCCAAATGAGAAGAGGCAGGTCACACAAAATGGTTTGGATATAACACAAGAGGGAGTGGACTGAGGCAAACCGTAGAGCATCTGCTTCCCCTGTAGGAGCCAGAGATGCTCAGCTCTGTCTGATTGTTGCCACACATAGATATGAGGACCGAGGGTTGGCAGACTTTCTGATTTTTTTTTCAAGAAAAGCTCAAAATCTGGATTGTTTTAAATGTGAAATTTCTGGATGTTTACATATTTGACAATTTTAAAAGAAAACATGTGGGCCAAATCCAGAGTACTGGCTGGATCAAGTCCATGGGCCTACCATTTGTGACTTTCCTCCCAAACACATCGGGGAATGCAGAGTGATATATATTTCCCTCACTCTAAAATAGCCCTCAGGGTGCCCTAAGGGGGCTGGCATTAGACCCTGGGCTCCCAGCCTTGCCATACACTCCTGTGCCCCAAGAGTGCTGGGGAAGTAGCAGAGTGGCAGACCTAAAGACACTGTGAAGGCTGGGGTGATGGTCACCTCAGTGTTAGCCAACTTGGACAGGAGACGCAGGAGCAGAGGGAGCTCCCAATATCATGGTGCTGCGTATGACCCCAGAACAGGGCATGCAAAGTGAGCTGTAAGAATGTCTGAGGTTGAATTTGCTTCTAGGGGAGAAGTGAAATTACTTCTATCTCTCCTCCTGACAAGGGCAGAGGCCTTGTTCGCTCACTCACCAACTAGTGCTTTGCACAGTGCCCAGCAGCATACTGTGGGGCTGCATTTTATAAGAATTATGCAAATGAGCAACACTGAGATGTAAACTATTGATAAAATGTGCCCTTTATGCACACAATTTGAAATCACGTAACCACCTCCCCCAAAATTAACAATTCATTAAGAATGCCTGAGCTAGCAGGATACATGAATTGTAAGCACTGGGATGGTGCTAATTAGAGGAGCAAATCAAGGTTGATTGTGTTTTCAAGCTGGGGTAGCTGGGAAAATGGTGACACTAGGCTTGGTAAGGCAGGATGCTGAGCACTGAGTGAAAGATCTTGAATGTATCTTCCCTACAGCAAGGCCTTCCTATCTAGTCTTCTTTATAGTATGCTTAGCACCATGATATAAGCAATTGGGTACTAATATGCATTTAGTGACAATAATTACTTAGTGACTATCAAAGTGCACCTCAAAGCAAGTCACCTGAATTGTGGCTATGACTGTGGCTTTCAATGAGCATGGGTCAGATTCTATATTCCCTTTGGTCGTTGAGAGAAAACCGGCTCCCACACCTGGGCCTGCTGTGTGAGTCTATCCCCTCCCCATTCCTGCTCTGCCCCCAACAGCACTACAGGGCTCCGGCCTACAGGATCAGAGTACAAGGTAGAAGCTGCTGTCCTCCCACAAGGTTGTGGAGGGAAAGGCACGAGAGAGAGTAAGAGCCACCTGGATTTCAGTGTCTGGAAGTCTCTGATATGTGACCTCCCAGAAGCAATGTGGCAGCCAGGGAGGGCCCAAGAATGGAGATGGATGATAAACCCACACAACACCCTCAAACCATCTTCTTAGAATATCAATCTTACATGTAACAAAATTCCTTCTCAGTGGTTTTCTTACCACTAAAGGGCTACCCCTTACCCATGACCTTGGCATTATTATTATTTTTGGCAGGTGCAGGTGCTTGGATAACCAGCAGCTTGCTTAAATCTGAAGTTCCCTGTACCTAAAGGAGAAAAGTCAAAATTAGTCAAAAGAGCATTCTTTGATCTCTAAGATGGCTGCTTCCTAACCTTTCCAAAGAATATAAGAAATAAGCCAAAACCTAGAACTCAGCCTCCAACCTAAGCTCTATCTTTCTCATTTCAAATCCTCTTTAACCTTGTTTCAAAAAGTCTTGGACCAGGAAGTTATCTTTTGGATATTTGTAAACATCAGAAAGGAAATTTCTACACCTTACTTGGAACGAATTTGGAAAATGGAATCCCCAGCATCCACTGAGTTACTTTTATTCCGACACTGACATTCAAGGGCTCAGGCCCCAGCCTTCCCAGATAGGAAAAACAGCTCTCTTCCTCAAGCTTTTGCCCCATGTGCCACAGAATCTGCCCTCCCAGAATGCAAGGAGCATACATAAGTAACAATTTAACTATCCATAATTTCTAGATATTATCACATATTACCTCATTGAATCCCCACAAGAACCTTACGAGATGACTGCTGCTATTATCCTCATCTTACTAAGAGGAAACTGAGGGTCAGAAGGCACCTTTCCTCCGCTCACACACCTAGTGGGCACAGGTGTCAGGTTTTAAATCCAAGTATGCCTGACTCCTAACTCTAGTGTCTTAAACTAAACTGTGGTATTGCTCCCACTGTTCCCCACCCCTTGTTTCAAAGCTAAATTTTCATTTTCTGTTTAAAAAAAACATTTAAATTACCTTCACCCTCTGAATTGTTGAGAGGTTGACAAAATAAGAACGTTGGTTAGGAAAGTGGTAAATGCACTTTTTAGGAGATTTACCAACTTTTCCAGGACGTAAAATTTCATTAAATTAGTGAACGTTCCCAGCCTGAACAAGCAGAAAGGGTCTCTCCCAAACTTTTTACCAGATTAAAGAGATGTCAGCTCTTTTCATGGCCTCTTGGTCCTCCTCATTCTTGGGCTCTGTCCTCACATCACTCCTGTGGTCCGACAGCATGGCTTGGCCCAGTAGGGACCTGGCTTCTACTCTTCCCATCCCCTGTTTTGTCCCAGGTGTTCACACTTCCCCCTTCCTTACAGAGGCGTGGAATGATGAGGCCCAGGGCCCTCTATCAAGTTGTGCCCCTAGCCCCTAATGTGTCAGCAAAGTGACATGGCCCCAATGCATCTCCCTTCTTATCAGCCAGCGCAGATAACTTCCAGAGCCATGCTAGCAAGCAGTGTCATTGCCTTGGCGTGAACTAGGAAAAGTGTACCCCGTCCTTCCTCTGTGGACGCACAGCCCATGCCAGGGCAAACAGCTTGGCAAGTAGAGAGCAGGCAGATTCCTGCCCCCCTTGTCCCTCAGTGACACTCTTGTGCGGGGCACAACTTGTACAACAGTACACAGAAGCCCTGGGTACATTTCGACTGTTTTGTTAAGGGCAGGTGAGAACTGTAGGGTCTTTCTAGGTTAAATTTCTCTTTAAGGTGGTTGGTTGAGTTTTAAAGTCACTTATGGGGCACAATGAAAAGCAAATGACTCTTTAGAAATGATCCTCCTTACCTGTTCACAGGTTTTAGGTAAAATGCAAGGTGCAAGATATGGTACCTCTGTCTTAGTATCAATAACACTGCCATATACAAGAATAACGAATTTCATGTTCACATTATCAATAGTCATTTCGTTATAGCTTGATAAAGTCTCCACATATGCATGATTGAGGGCCACGCACTTCTGAAACTTTAAGTCCTAAAATAAAATGAGATTTTGTCCTATAAATCATACAAAATGACACACGGTATCAAGAAGAAAGCATATTCCACATGAAAAGATGCTCGACATCATTACTCATCAAGGAAATGGAAACCAGCTCACACTTATCAGAATGGCCATCATCAAAGACAACAAATAAGTGTTGGCAAGGATGTGGAGAAAAGGGAACCTTTGTGCACTGTTGCTGGGATTGTAAACTGGTGCAGCCACTATGGGAAATAGTAAGAGGTTCCTCAAAAAATTAATAAAACTACCATATGATCCAGCAATCCCACTTCTGGGTATTTACCCAAAGAAAATAAAAACACTAATTTGAAAAGATATATGCACCCCTACGCTCACTGCAACATGATTTACAATAGCCAAGATATGGAAGCAACCTAAATGTCATTGATAGATGAATGGATAAAGAAGATGTGGTATATATATATACTGTTGGACTGTTGGACTGACCTCTAAGTCAGTATATATATATATATGGAATGAAATACTACTCCGTCATAAAAAAGAATGAAATCTTGCCATTTGCGACAACATGGATGAACCTAGAGCGTATTATGCTAAGTGAAATAAGTCAGATAGAGAAAGACAAATACCATATGATCTCACTTACATGTGCAATCTAAAAAACAAAACAAATGAACAAATAAAACAAAACAGAAAACGACTTACAGATACAGAGAGCAAAATGGTGGTTGCCAGAGGGGAGGGGAGGTGGGAGGTTGGATAAAATAGGTGAAGAGGGGGCTTCCCTGGTGGCGCAGGGCTGAGAGTCCGCCTGCCGATGCAGGGGACGCAGGTTTGTGCTCCAGTCTGGGAGGATCCCAGATGCCACAGAGAGGCTGGGCCCATGAGCCATGGCCGCTAAGCCTGCGCATCCGGAGCCTGTGCTCCGCAAGAGGAGAGGCCACAACAGTGAGAGGCCCGCGTACTGCCAAAAAAAAAAAATAGGTGAAGAGGATTAAGAGGTAGTAACCTCCAGTTACACAATAAGTAAGTCACGGGAATGTAATATACAGCATAAGGAATATGGTCAATAACATTGTAATAACTTTGGAGCAGGTGGTTACTAGACTTATCATGGTGATCATTTCATTATGTATGCAAATGTCAAATCATTATGTTGTATACCTGAAACTAAGATAACATTGTACGTCAACTATATTTCAATTTAAAAAATAATGACTAAAATAAACAAAAGATCAAAAGTTTAAAAAAAGAAGAAGAAAGCAAATTCACTGATTTAGCTGAGTTCTTAGAGGGTGCCAAAGGGCAAATAGACCCTGGGGCCAACAGATAGAATTTATTTGGAGTTCAGAATGACTTCTGACAAGATTCTGAATTCAGAACTTTTATACTGACAAGATTCTGAATTCAGAGCTTTTATATTGCTACTGTTTAGTGGCCCTGAATGTGGTTGCCCAGCCCTGATTTATTTATAATCAGCCACAGCAGGGCAGTCAGCTATGCCTCTTGGATTTCTATTCACACAAGAACCAGAGTCCTAAATATGCAGAGGTTTTACCTTGCAGTAAGCAAATGTCCCACTTGACAAGGAAACAAACAAAACAAAACAAAACTTAAGCATACGCCAAGGCTCATAAACATAGATTTTAGAGCTAGAAGAGAGCTGTTATGGATTGAATTGTGTCCCTCCAAAATTTATATATTGAAGTCTTAAACCCCAGTACCTCAGAATGTTACCTTATTTGGAAATAGGGTCATTGCAGATGTAATTGTTTAAGATAAGATGAGGTCAAACTGGAACAGGGTGGACACCTAATCCAATATGACTGGTGTCCTTATGAAAAGGGGAAATTTGAACACAGACATACATACAAGGGGAACTCCATGTGAAGATGAAGACAGCCGTCTACAGGCCAAGGAGGGAGGCCTGGACTAGATTCTCCACCATAGCCCTCAGTAGGAACCAGTACTGCCAGGACCTTGATTTCAGATTTCTAGGCTTGAGAACTGTGAGACAATAAATTTCTGTCATTTAAGTCACCCAGTTTGCAGTACCTTGTGACAGAAGCCCCAACAAACTAATATAGGAGCTTAGAGGTCAGTCCAACAGTAGTAATCTCTTGGACGGTGCCCTGACAGTGGCCATCAACTCATTCTGAACATTTCCAGCCACAAGAAGTACACAGCTACATGATTCAGCCCTCAGATCTTGGTCCCTGACGTGCAAATCAAACACTTAATTGCTGAGGGCACCGGCATAGTTGGGGCACCAAAAACATAAGAAAATTAGCAAACTTATCTAGAATTTTACAACCAGAAAAATCTCTTAAAAAGCTATTTTGGTTTTTAAATGCATATAAAATTTGAATTGTGTGGTCTAGAGGAGGGTGTTCAGCATAATCTTGTTAGTCTTTGGGGGTTCTAAAAAGTCTTAATTGTAGTTCTTTAATGAAAAAAGACTAGAAGGAAATAAGCCAAATTGTTAAACAGAGATTTTCTGGGGAGTAAATTGGGGTAGAAAATTATTATTATCTTCTTACATTTTGTAACTGTGTTTTTTAAATTTATATTATGAATATGTTTTGCTTGTGAATTTTTAAAAAATGAAAGGACATTCACCTTATTATTGAGTTAAGTCTCACTCCATAGAGTTTCAACTTTTGGGTCCCAATTCTCTCCTCTGCAGTTTCAAAGTAGACTCTAAACTTGTCCTACTGCTCATGAAGAGGCAAAGCAAAAGGAAAAGAATCTACATCTCCTTACCCTTCTGATAAAGTTTTTCTGAAAATTATTATTGCCACATAGTAAAAGACTGACTGCCTTAGCATGATGTGCTAATTTTTTAAGACAATTTTTTAGAGTAGTTTTAGATTCACAGCAAAACTGAGAGGAAGGTACAGAGATTTCTCATAACCCCCTGCCCTTATACATGCATAGCCTCCCCTATTATCAACATTCTCCACCAGAGTGGTACATTTATTACAACCACTGAATCTACACTGATACTCATAATCACCCAAAGTCCATAGTTTGCATTAGGTTTCACTGTTGATGTTGTACATTCTATGGGTTTGGACAAATGTATAAAGACAGGTATCCATCATACATGTATCGTAGAGTATTTTCATTGCCTTAAAAATCCTCTGTGCTCTACCTGTTCATGCCCCCTCACCCCAACTCCTAGCAACCATTGATCTTTTTATTGTCTTCATAGTTTTGCCTTTTCCAGAAAGTCCTATTGTTGGAACCATAGAGTATGTAGCCTTTTCAGATGGCTTCTTTCACTTAGTAATATGCATTTAAATTTCTTCCATGTCTTTTTCATGGCTTAATAACTCATTTCTTTTTAGCACTGAATAATATTCCATTGTCTGGAAGTACCACAGTTTATCCATTCATCTACTGAAAAACATCTTGGTTGATTGCTTCCAAGTTTTGGCAACTATGAATAAGGTATTATAAACATTTGTGTGTAGGTTTTTCATAAACAAAACAAACAGAAAACCTACAGAATGGGAGAAAATATTTGCAAATGATGCAACCGACAAGGGATTAATCTCCAAAATATACAAACAGCTCATACAGCTCAATATCAAAAAAACAAACAAACAAATCAAAAAATGGGCAGAAGACCTAAACAGACATTTCTCCAAAGAAAACATGCAGATGGCCAAAAGGTACATGAGAAGATGCTCAACATCACTAATTATTAGAGAAATGCAAATCAAAACTACAATGAGGTATCACCTCACACTGGTCAGAATGGCCATCATCAAAAAGTCTACAAATAATAAATGCTGGAGAGGGTGTGGAGAAAAGGGAACCTTCCTATGCTGTTGGTGGGAATGTAAATTGATGCAGCCACTGTGGAAAACAGTATGGAGGTTCCTTAAAAAACTAAAAATGAGCTACCATATGATCCTGCAATCCCATTCTTGGCCATATATCCAGAGAATACCATAATTTGAAAAGATACATGCACCCCAGTGTTCACTGCAGCACTATTTACAATAGCCAGGACATGGAAGCAACCTAAATGTCCATCAACGGATGAATGGATAAAGAAGATGTGGTATATATATTCAATGGAATATTATTCAGCCATAAAAAAGAATGAAATAATGCCATTTGCAGCAACATGGATTGACCTAGAGATTATCATACTAAGTGAAGTAAGCCAGATAGAGAAGGACAAATATCATATGATATCACTTGCATGTGGAATCTAAAAAAAACGATGATACAAATAAGCTTATATACAAAACAGAAATAGACCCACAGACACAGAAAACAAACTTATGGTTACCAAAGGGGAAAGAGAGGGGAGGAATAAACATATACACACTAATATATATAAAATACACACTACTATATATAAAATAGACAGACAGCAAGGATCTACTGTATAGCACAGGGAACTATACTCAATATTTTGTAATAATATATAAGGAAAAAGTATATATATATATATATAACAGAATCACTTTGCTGTACACCTGAAACTAACAGAACACTGTAAATCAAATATACTTCAGTTTTTAAAAAAATCCATGTGTAGGTTTTTGTGTGGACATAAGTTTTGAACTCCTTTGGGTAAATATCAAAGACAGTGATTGCTGGGTCATATGGCAAGAGTATGTTAGTTTTGTAAGAAACCGCCAAACTGTCTTCCAAAGTGGCTGTGTACCATTTTGCATTCTCACCAGCAATGAATGAGAGTTCCTGTCGCTCCATACCCTTGCCAGCATGTGGTGTTATCAGTGTTCCAAATATTGGCCAATTAATAGGTTTGTAGTGGTATCACATTGTTTTTTTAATTTGCATTTCCCTGATGACACAGGATGTGGAGCATCTTTTCCTATGTTTATTTGCCATTTGTATATCTTCTTTGATAAGGTGTCTGTTATGATCTTTGGCCCATTTTTTAATCAGGCTGTTTTTTTCCCCTACTGTTGAGTTTTAAAAGCTCTTCGTATATTCTGGATAATAGTTCTTTACCTGATGTGTCTTTTGCAAATATTTTCTCCCAGTCTGTGGCTTCTCTTCTCATTCTCCTGAGACATGCTAATTTTTTAACCCAATATTTATATTCATATATATATATATATATATATATATCTCACAATTCAATGAATATTGTTGAACTTCAGGTCTGTCACTTCTCCAGTTGCTGACTCATGATAGGGGCTCAAAAAATTACTAAATGGGATGTAAATATGGGGTTGTAAATTGTGCAGTCCAAGAACAGACTTGAACCACTACTTTTTGGAGAGCAAGTTCATAGATGAGGCTTAGTAAACTCAGTAAAAATTTGAAAAGGCAGGAGATTTATATTAACGTAGGTAGATACAGTAGACTATAATAAACACCAGACTGAATGCTCATGAACTCATTCTAATTAATGCTATGCTTGATTCTTGGGGATCTACCTATTTAAGATTTGCTGACTTTATTATTTTTAAGGGATGACTGCAGGTAGCCTGGGAAAATCAGCTGTCACAAGGGGACTGATGACCTATAGGAAGTCAGGATAAGCGAGTGATGAGGACTCTGAAATATTACTTTGAAAGATCAGACACACCTTCCTTTCTTTGTCTCCAAAATATGAAATGCATTTTGTAAAAAATACAGTAAATAAAATTTCATTCATATTTTAATCATGCAACTTACCTCATCAACGAGACTTGATTCAAAATACTGATAGGCAATACTGAGAGCAAGCTTCAGCCATATTTTATATTCCAGGGATGGCCAGAAGACATCAAAGCCTTCATATAAATCCTCCAGGGAGATAAAGCAAGCCTGAAATGACAAGGTATCAAACAGTATGCTTGATTTAAAACTAAATTACAAGACCATCAGAAAAAAAAAAAATGCCTGTAGATTTCATCTTCACCTAACCTGCTAGAAAAAACTATCAACTCTAGTATAGTAATTATGACACTCTGCCATTTAAGCATAAGATGATAGAATGTACAGTCCAATTAAAGCTATAGACTTGAAAACAGGCCAGGAAATTTTATACCAATCAATAGGTAGGATAATCATGAACCCAAGATTAAGGAACTAAGCCACATAAACTTATCTATTTTTATTGTCACAGGAGGTCACGTTGGCTCATTCATAGTATTTGTTTCCAGCAAAGTGACAATCCAAATAAGGAAGACAACTCTTTCAGAACTCACTGAAGTTCATTTACCTGAAATTCAGTGAATTCAATTCAGCCTTGTGAATACATTCATGCCTTCTATCCTCTTCCAAAAATGAAATGGTATGAAACTGATAAGGCGACATTCCTTTCTGTTTGTCACACTCCTAAGACTCTGGACACTGCTCTGTTGCATCTATCAGTCCCAAAAGCTTGAAAATTTTTTGTAAGTGGGAACTTTCACTAATTTCAATTTGAATCGCCCACAGCTAGTGCAATATCAGGCCATTTATTTGTTAAATAAACTTATTATTTAGCAAGTGAAAAATGGAAGAGGGTTGAAACACAAGTATACTTTAAAAACACCACTCTCATTATGGTGGCCATTTATTGAGCATCTAAACGTGCCAGGCACTTTACATATGTTTTCCTTATCTTCATAACATCAAAAGTTAGATACTTTCTCTTTTAATAAAAAAAACTGGCATAGTCTCCTTGGTTAAAATATCAGCCTCCAGATCCCATAGCTGATGTGAGACACTAAATTGGCCTCTCTCAGCTAGTCTACACCTGCTTCATAGTAGCTGGTTGGGTGACTAAATAAGATATCAGAACCCAGAGGAACAAAGATGCTGGCACTCCTTATTGACTTGAGGAAGAATTAACTAACAACTCACAATATATACTGAACCAGTTTCTTACCTGTAAAATAGTTTCACAGATGGCAGTATATTCAATTTCACACTTAAGCAGACAGTTCAACTCTCCAATTATGTCTCCACTAGTACAGTACTCTGTAAACCTGGTCGTGGACTCTCTATCAGCCCTTAGGCTCCTGTCTATTCCAAAGGTAGGAGGTGAACTCTGCAACTGCAAAGGGGAAAAAATTGTGCCAAGGGAAATATAAAATTAAAAGCCCTTGACCAAACCCCAGGAGCTCCCAGTTTTTCTTGCAATTACTACAATGGAAGGAAAAGATTCTTTATGAATCCTTTCAGGTGTAAAGGAGGAATTAAGCTTCACAAGAATCATGGTTTCTTTCACATTTCAACTCTCCAAGGCAAGACTGTTTCTAATCTTTAGCTTTACAGATGACCCCTATTTACCTCCCTTGTATAAAAATTCTACCAAAAGTAGTCATTGCAGTCTGCCACTAATGCCACTCTATTAGATATTAGCATAATATCTATTAGATATTCTTAGCATAATAGGCTACTGTCTCAGGTGGAAAAAACTTCTGGTTGCATGGATGCATAAATCCGATATCATGAATTAATATGCCTCCAAACCAAGCTGTGATTTCAGTAGAAGCCTTGCTTCCCTGAAGATGCTTAAGAATAATTACCATGAGACATTAACAGGAAAAGGTTTTAGGATGAACACAGGATGGTTGGGTTACTTATGGAAAAGAACTGGTAGGTGTGGGTGGGGGTAAAGAAAGGTATCAGGTTTCAGGAGGAAGATGCGGGAATCAACCAGAAGGATTACACAACTTTCCAGAAAGTTTAGCTGTAAATATCAAAGAGGAAAGCTATTGTTCAAGACACAGGAAATGGAAAAAAGGTCACTGAAGGAGTTGCTATGAAAACTGTACCCTCTCCTAGTGATTATAATTCAAACTTTTAGAGGCAGTCATGCTTCCAAAGGACTTGATATTTTTTTAATTTAATTTTGAATGCAGTTCAAATGCCTTTTGAGTAATCAAGAATGTCTCTGCTTTTTTGCAAACCAAGGAAAGGGGATAACATCTGTGGTAAGCAGAATTCTAAAGAAATCCTTCCAAGATTCCTGTCTCTTTGCTATTCAATCAAACATTTATCTATGAACTGCTGTGAAGGGATTTTGCAGATAGAATTCAGGATACTGCTAATCAGCTAAACTTAAAGAGATGATTCTGGATTATCCTGTTAGCCCAGTGTAATCACATGAGCCCTCAAAAGTAGAAGGGGGAATAGTTGTCAAAGATTGGTGGCGGGTGGGGGGGAAATGAATTGATTTCTCTGTCCATCAGTTTTCCACCTTACATGAGGTTGATGTAAGGATTCAATGTCATAACATATTGCCATTCTCGACCATCCTTTTAAATGTCACAATTAGCCATCTTCATCTCTCCATCACCGCTAACATACTATATTATTTAACTTAGGTATTTTGTCCATTGTCCCATCTCTTTCTATGCCTCTACTAGAAATTAAACTCTAAGACAGCGATTTTTGTTTTTGTCGATTCTATGCCTAGAATGAGCAGTGCCTGCTGCATGATACTAATGAAGTAAATATTTGTTGAATGAATGAGTGAATGGATGAATGGAAAGTGCCTGACACTTAATAAACTCTATACATGTGTTAGTTAGTATTTATTATAATAGTTTATTTCCATGATTAATTCTGGTATTTTTAAGGTCTGAAACACCCATTCCAAAAATAGAAAGCCAAATATATTATTTGCACTGTAATAAGGGTTTGTCACTTGTAACTGTCATCTAGGATCTAGGAATTATGTTGGTCATAGCTAGGGCTCACCCATGGATTCAGCTACTAGTATTCAGTTTCTAAAGGATTCTTGTCCCTATCATTCTACTGACACCAAAAGCCTCCTACTGGTTAAAAATGGTATGAGTTTCATCCTATCTGACCTCTGGGAGAATCTGATGTTGTGGTCTATTTCCTCATTCTTGACACTCATTTCCTTTAGGTGAGTAACCCAACCACTCCAAGTATTGGGTTCCTTATCTGAATGTCGAAAAGACTGTTCCTCCCAGGACTGTTGTGAGGAATAAATAATAATTATGAAAGCATTTTGTAAGATGGGAAGCACCTTTCGGATGGTGGGTATTATAATTATCTCTCAGCTGTAGTGTTCACTCTGAACAGAAATGGTTTCATCTGGAAAACAAATTATGTTAAAAATTTCAAAATATCTTAGTTCCTAAATTTCTCCTTATGTGATAATTACGTATCTCAAAATACATTTTCAGTAAATAATAAATAGTCCCTTACGATCGCCATTCCTGAAATAATTAAGTAGATTCCTTGTGGCATTTCACCTTCTTTACAAATGACATCTCCATAGTCAAAATAGGCAAGTTTGGCTCTTTCCTGAAAGAAAAAAAAAAAAAAGAAGAAAAGGAAAGAAAAAGAGAATTAACACAAATCTTTACAGTCTACTTCTCTAAATAGAGATAAATTTTAAAGCATAAAAACAAACTATATTCTCTGGTTTCTTAATGAATTACAACATTTTTGCATACCTCATTAACTTTTAGGTAAAAAAGGGACAAGCAAGCAAATTGTAGACTTTTGCTTAGGACCTAGCAGAGTGGTAGAAACACCCAATAAATGCTAGGTTGTATAATGGTTACAATAAAGTGTAATAATTCTGATCAGGAGACAGGGGCATGGCACTCTGGGAAAAAAATTCAGAAAGGTCACAGGACCCTGTCTTGGGTGTCCAGGGGAGACTACACAGAGGAAGGAACAGCTAAGCTGAGACCTGAAGGAAGAGTAACAGATAGCCAGGATACGATGAGTTGACGACCATTTACAGCAGAGGATTCAGTTTAAGCAAAGACCCAGAAGTAAACAGAATAACTGCACTGGGGGTAACCACAGAAGATTCAATACATCTCAGGCAGGCAAGGAGGGGTGGAGACCACGGCTGAGTTATCCATTAGGCATCAATAGGCACAGTGTCCAGGGTTCACAATACTTTTCGGGATTTACAACAATGTTTTAGTTTCTTTTAAAATCAGAAGAAAATAAAAGAACTTTTAGGTAGAGTAAAATGTCTTAATACTAAAACATCTAATACTAATATATTCATCTTTATACTAACACGATCATAAAGTATAATTTTTTTGGTGCTTTTTTACGGAGGAAAAGGCAGAAGTGCCTGGGGGCCAGGAAAGTCATATTGCAGCCCAGGTGGAGGCAGGACTGGAGAGGTGAGCCGAAGCCAGGTCTCCAAGGGGCTCACAGGCATGGTAAAAAGTCTGGGCTTTTCCCAAAACCAGGGGGTAGCCACTAAAAGGTTTGTAACAGGAGAATTATGGTGACAGATTTGCATCTTACAAAGCTGTGTGGGAAACACACTTTTAAGTCATGCATAGTAGTTATCGCGAAGTGTGGGGTGGGGAGTGAAAGGTTTTCACTTTTCGCTTCTGATTTATTTTACAGTGTAGAAATAAACATGCATGACTTCACAATATTTTTTTTAAAAGCTCACCTAAAGCCAATTATCCCCCTTATGTATTATTCAGACTTTGTTTTTTCTTTTTTTTTTTTTTGGGCAGGTGCCATTCTTTTTTCTTTTTTAATACAGCAAGTTTTCATTAGTTATCTTTTTTTTTAAACATCTTTATTGCAGTATATTTGCTTTAGATTGTTGTGTTAGATTCTGCTGTATAAAAAAGGGAATCAGTAATATACATACATATATCCCCATATCCCCTCCCTCTTGCGTCTCCCTCCCACCCTCCTTATCCCACCCCTCCAGGTGGTCACAAAGCACTGAGCTGATCTCCCCGTGTGATGCAGCTGCTTCCCACTAGCTATCTATTTCACATTTGGTAGCGTATATATGTCAATGCTACTCTTTCACTTCGTCCCATCTTACCCTACCCCCTCCCCCTGTCCTCAGGTCCATTCTTTATGTCTGTGTCTTTATTCCTGTCCTGCCCCTAGGTTCATGAGAACCATTTTTTTTTTTTAGATTCCATATATATGTGTTAGCATATGGTATTTGTTATTCTCTTTCTGACTTACTTCACTCTGTATGACAGATTCTAGGTGCATCCACCTCACTACAAATAACTCAATTTCATTTCTTTTTATGGCTGAGTAATATTCCATTGTATATATGTGCCACATCTTTATCCATTCAACTGTCGATGGACACTTAGGTTCCTTCCATGTCCTGGCTAATGTAAATAGTGCTGCAATGAACACTGTGGTACATGACCCGTTTTTTAAAAATGTATTTATTAACATCTTTATTGGAGTATAATTGCTTTACAATGGTGTGTTAGTTTCTGCTGTTATAACAAAGTGAATCAGCTATACATATACGTGTATCGCCATATCTCCTCGCTCTTGCATCTTCTTCCTACCCTCCCTATCCCACCCATCTAGGTGGCATGACCCTTTATAATTATGGTTTTCTCAGGGTATATGCCCAGCAGTGGGATTGCTGGGTCATATGGTAGTTCTATTTTTAGTTTTTTAAGGACCCTCCATATTGTTTTCCACAGTGGCTGTATCAATTTACATTCCCACCAACAGTGCAAGAGGGTTCCCTTTTCTCCACACCCTCTTCAGAATTTACTGTTTGTAGATTTTTTGATGATGGCCATTCTGACCGGTGGGAGGTGATACCTCACTGTAGTTTTGATTTGCATTTCTCTAATGATTACCAATGTCAAGCATCTTTTCATCTGTTTATTGGCAATCTGTACATCTTCTTTGGAGAAATGTCTATTTAGGTCTTCTGACCATTTTTGGATTGGGTTGCTTGCTTTTTTGATATTGAGCTGCTTGTATATTTCAGAGATTAATCCTTTGTCAGTTGCTTCATTTGCAAATATTTTCTCCCATTCTGAGGGTTGTCTTTTCGCCTTGTTTACGGTTTGTTTGCTGTGCAAAAGCTTTGAAGTTTCATTAGGCCCAATTTGTTTATTTTTGTTTTTATTTCCATTTCTCTAGGAGGTTGGTCAAAAAGAATCTTGCTGTGATTTATGTCATAGAGTTCCGCCTATGTTTTCCTCTAAGAGTTTTATAGTGCCTGGCCTTTCCTTTAGGTCTTTAATCCATTTTAATTTTGTGTATGGTGTTAGGAAGTGTTCTAATTTCATCCTTTTACATGTAGCTGTCCAGTTTTCCCAGCACCACTTACTGAACAGGCTTTCTTTTCTCCATTGTATACTCTTGCCTCCTTTATCAAAGATAACGTGACCATATATGCGTGGGTTTATTTCTAGGCTTCTTCCTGTTCCATTGATCTATATTTCTGTTTTTGTGCCAGTACCATACTGTCTTGATTACTGTAGCTTTGTAGTATAGTCTGAAGTCAGGGAGCCTGATTCCTCCAGCTCCGTTTTTCTTTCTCAAGACTGCTTTGACCATTCAGGGTCTTTTGCATTTCCATACAAATTGTGCAATTTTTTGCTCTAGTTCTGTGAAAAATGCCATTGGTAGTTTGATAGGATTGCATTGAATCTGTAGATTGCTTTGGGTAGTACAGTCATTTTCACAATGTTGATTCTTACAATCCAAGAACATAGTATATCTCTCCATCTGTTTGCATCATCTTTAATTTCCCTCATCAGTGTCTTATAGTTTTCTGCATATAGGTCTTTTGTCTCCTTAGGTAGGTTATTCCTAGGTATTTTATTCTTTTACTTGCAATGGTAAATGGGAGTGTTTCCTTAATTTCTCTTTCTGATTTTTCATCGTTAGTGTTTAGGAATGCAAGAGATTTCAGTGCATTAATTTTGTACCTGCTACTCTACCAAATTCATTGATTAGCTCTAGTAGTTTTCTGGTAGCATCTTTAGGATTCTCTATGTGTAGTATGTCATGTGCAAACAGTGACAGTTTTACTTCTTCTTTTCTTATTTGGATTCCTTTTATTTCTTTTTCTTCTCTGATTGCCATAGCTAAAACTTCCAAACTATGTTGAATAATAGTCGTGAGAGTGAGCAACCTTGTCTTGCTCCTGATCTTAGAGGAAATGGCTTCTGTTTTTCACCATTAACAGTGATGTTGGCTGTGGGTTTGTCATATATGCCTTTACTATGTTCAGGTAGGTTCCCTCTATGCCTACTTTCTGGAGAGTTTTTACCATAAATGGGTGCTGAATTTTGTTGAAAGCTTTTTCTGCATCTATTGAGATTATCATATGATTTTTATTCAATTTTTTAATATGGTGTATCACATTGATTGATTTGCATATATTAAAGAATCCTTGCATCCTTGGGATAAACCCCACTTGATCATGGTGTATGATCCTTTTAATGTGCTGTTGGATTCTGTTTGCTAGTATTTTGTTGAGGATTTTTGGATCAATGTTCATCAGTGATATTGGCCTGTAGTTTTCTTTTTTTGTAACACCTCTGTCTAGTTTTGGTATCAGGGTGATGGTGGCCTCATAGAATGAGTTTGTGAGTGTTCATCCCTCTGCTATACTTTGGAATAGTTTCAGAAGGATAGGTGTCAGCTCTTCTCTAAATGTTTGATAGAATTCGCCTGTGAAGCCATCTGGTCCTGGGCTTTTGTTTGTGGGAAGATTTTTAATCACAGTTTCAATTTCAGTGTAATTGAAATTTCAATTGAAAATTCAATTTCAGTGTGACTGGTCTGTTTATATTTCCTATTTCTTCCTGGTTCAGTCTCAGAAGGTTGTGCTTTACTAAGAATTTGTCTATTTCTTTCATGTTCTCCATTTTATTGGCATATTGTTGCTTGTAGCAATCTCTCATGATCCTTCATATTTCTGCAGTGCAGTTGTTACTTCTCATTTTTCATTTCTAATTCTGTTGATTTGAGTCTTCTCCCTTTTTTTCTTGATGAGTCTGACTAATGGTTTATCAATTTTGTTTACCTTCTCAGAGAACCAGCTTTTAGTTTTGTTGATCTTTTCTATTGTTTCCTTCATTTCTTTTTCATTTATTTCTGCTCTGATCTTTATGATTTCTTTCCTTCTGCTAACTTTGGGTTTTTTTGTTGTTCTTCTTCTTCTTTCTCTAATTGCTTTAGGTGTAAGGTTAGGTTGTTTATTTGAGATGTTTCTTGTTTCTTGAGGTAGGATTGTGTTTCTAGAAACTTCCCTCTTAGAACTGCTTTTGCTGCCTCCCATAGGTTTTGGGTCATCGTGTTTTCATTGTCATATATTTCTAGGTATTTTTTTATTTCTTCTTTGATTTCCTCAGTGATCTCTTGGTTATTTAGTAGCATATTATTTGGCATCCATGTGTTTGTATTTTTTACAGGTTTTTTTTCCTGTAATTGACATCTAGTCTCATAGTGTTGTGGTCAGAAAAGATACTTGATACGATTTCAATTTTCTTAAATTTACCGAGCCTTGATTTGTGACCCAAGATATG